CTATGTAACATTTTTTTTCTTTTTGTGAAAGCATCCAAATAAATACACGATCCAATTAAAAATTCTCCCTTTTTTATGTGTTTTTTTCAAAAAGTATAATTTTATTTTGTATTATGTAATCTGAAATAATTTACATATTAAGTGAAGTACATACTACATACATTGTTCACTATTTATAATATTCGATTTCAAATTATATTTAACAAAAGCTACACTAGGTATCTAATACGCGCATTTATTATTTCTATGAGTTGCAATAAGTATTCTAATCTTATATTATATATTTAATGAGTTGTGTCACTAAAAAATTGCATAAATATACATTTTATCATGTAAACTAAATTATAACATATTATAATTTTTATTTGCCTATTATAAATGTTAATATTATTATTACAGGTATAAAATACTAAATTACTAATTGTTATATTTAATAAACTGAAAGTGTACATAAATTTGATTTTCAAAAGCTATATACATAAAGCTTCAATGTATACTTTATAGAAAATAAAATGAGAAAATTTATCATTATTTATTTTTATAAATTAAAAAATTAAAATAAAAACTTGAGTAAACTGTTAATTTGTTTACTAATAATCTCGAAAAGTAAAATTAAAATATGCAATAAAAATCGTTTTGAATATTTTTTCTATCTCCTTCTATTTTTTCCCCTAGAAAAAGTGCTTAGAATTATTGATATAAACTATTTTATTTTTATATATATTTAACTTAATAGTTAAAACGTATTTCACACATTGTAATATCATTGTGGCACTGTTTTTAAAATTGCATTGTTATAATCAATAGCGCGATAAATTTCAAAAACCACCTTAATGAAAAAACACTAATAATTGCATTAATGATTTAAGATAAAAATCAATAAAAAATCATTATTTTAACTAAATTAAGGTAAGGCATAGGCGCAATTTAGGGAATAAACAGGGTCTTTTGCACTCCTTAGTTAAAATTTAAGCAGAAATTTGGTGAAATTGATGGGGGGGGGGGGCTGAGCAGTATTTGCTTATTACACCTATAGCTACTCCTGTACGTAATTATTTATTTCAACACGGTAATTTACAAAGTTTGACAATTTGACATATTCAACAATTTTACCAAAAAAACAATTAGGTGCCTTATCTTAAATATTTTTGGAGTAGGTATTCTAAACAGAAATTATAAATTATTTGAATTAAACAACTAATGCAGGCACTATTACATATTATTAATATTACATTAATTACAATTATTACAAGTCGTGATAATAATTTTATAAAATCTAACGAATTTGATTTAATTTTTATCACAGAATATATTTTTCTAATTCAGTTATTAAAAATGCATTTTACAATCATAATAATTATGGTATTTTATATACTATTTTGAATTATACACATTAAATATTAAAATCAAAATTATTTAACTTACATAAAATATATTAAAACCTTTAAAACATATGATTGAAATAAACTTATAATAATAAACTCTTTACAAATCGCCATCATTATAAAATATAATTAAATATCAATTCAATACTATAATAATATATCAAAATATACAAATTTTGTATTAATTTATTTTTATGTTTCTTTTCAGAACCTAGATTTTTTTTTTGGTAGAACCCAAATCAATTTTCTTCCCGGAGACGGGGATTCCCTTTTCTTTTTGATTTGTGAATTTTACACTTTAATTATTTAATGGTATGAAAATGAAATTCTTATAATTTAATAAATTATCATAAGACATTTAAATCATATACTTCAAATTAAGTATTAATAATAAAATCTTAAAAAATAGCGTTCATAATTATAAAAAATGTATCAATTTAAATTAATCAATTCAATTTTAAATCGAAATATTCAAATTTTAATTCATTTATTTTTGTTTCTTTTCATAACATGTTTTTTTTTTTTTGTTTTAACCTAAATCAGTAAACACTGCATTTTTTATTTAAATTTTATATCTATAATATATAATGAAATAAAAATCAAACTCATTTAATTCACATAAAAAATCATAAATATTTAAATCATACGTTTCAAATTAACTATTAATAATACACTTTTAATCTATTGCGTTCATAATTATAAAATATATTTCAATTTAAATTAATCAATCTAATTTTATTTCAAAATATTCAAATGACAAACATTTTTAAGATTAGATAGCAAATTCAACACCAAAAGAACGTTAGTATTTTTAGATCCCTAGTATTTTTAAACTATTAATATAAGTATTTCAACACATTTTTTTCATTATAAATTCATAACACATTCAATTGATACGATTTGGAGAACTGGCTTACTCCTTAAATTCATGAGAGTAATTCTATGCAAAACCCTGTATAACATACTCAGTAATATGCTTAGTAATCGATAGTTCATAGTCGGCGTAGGTAATAAAACAAACAGAAAATGCAGACTAAACAATGTTCTTCCTCAATGATCAGTCCTTGCTCCAAGCCCAAATTAAGCGGGGTATAGAGGGAGTCATGGCCCCGCGCCTACAACGGATATCAAACAATAGTTGGCCCCTGGCGAATATTTGGTTTTTTCTTGTTTTCAACCTTTTTTTTAGCTCGTATAAGAAATAAGTATTTGAACGATCAGTTCTCAAGAAAATTTAAATAGTTTAATTGTTTTGTGTTCAGAGAGTAATTTTTTGGCGGTAATTAATACCGATTATATAATTAAAAGGTTTATTTTTCCAAAAAAGAAAAAACTATTTATACAAATAAATTTTTTATTTTTGTATTAAAAAAAGTAAGAAATAAATTTATAAATTCTAATATAATTTTTTTTTGTCTCTGAATAATATTTATGATAGGGTCATCAATATTTTGTTTATGGTTAAGTGCCCCTAAAATTGTTTGGCACCGGGCCTCAAATTATCTTAATCCGGGCTTTCCTTGTTTCGATCCTTTTCAACTTATATACTAATGATCTGCCAAATACTATCTCCAAAAATGTCTATTGTAATGGAATAGATATTCTATGTGCGTTTGTTAAATATTGTCGTTTTGACTAATTACATTTCTCACAATTTTTTGTTCGTAATATAAAAAAAAAAAAAAAAAAATTAAAAAAAACTAAATTATAATTAATTTTTTATTTAAACCTTAAAGCATACTTGATTGTTTAAATATTGTCATTTTTACTTTTTTATAGTAAACAGCCGAAATCTAGGACCCGATCCAGAGTGAAACGAAGTTACAAGAGATTAATATATACCAATTTACTTCCATAAATACAGGTATTCTTTTGAATAACAAATGCAATCATAAGAAAATTTATTAAATTTATGTTTTTTGCTTCTAGTTTTTTTTTTATACAATCCTTTACCTTTTTAAATCTATCAATATTTGAGTAGTCTCGGATATTTGAATAAAATTTTTCCATTTAATATTCATTTAAATTATTAATCTCTAATTTTATCAATTTAATTGCATTAGTGTTTGTTGTTTTTTATTATAATAAATATTTATTTGTTTCATCTGCATGAGTATTGTATAGACCCCAGGATAATTCTTTTATTTTTTATTAACAATTGAAACTATAACATAATGAACAGCGTATCAACCAGTGGCATATTTAGCATTATTTAAGGATTTTAAAGCAAAATGTAAGAGATTTAAGCTATACAACAAATAAGGTGAAGCAGTCAAGGTTCTAAAGAAATAGCAAATCCAATAATAATTTTTCGCAAATGTGACAATCGTAGATGAGAAGGGTCTGGTATGTGGATATTATGATACATACTTACTGGCTTTTTTTGAATTATATATTAAAAAAAAAAAAAACATATTAATAATAACATTACGCAAAATATATTACAAATTTATAATAAACATATACATATATAAACAAATTATATGACACATCAATATTTGTTTAATATTTCAACAATAACATTAAACAAATTTAATTTTTAATACCCTAATACAATTTTATAAAGTTTAAATTCAGATTTTTTTTTATTGTCATAACTTATTATTGTTTCGTTTTTTTTTTTTTTTTTTAATTTATAGCTGCCAATATAAAATTATTACAGGATTGTTTTGTTCACACATCAAATAAAATTTTGCCGTGTGCATGAACTTCCTTCAATTTTCAAATCTTGTATTTTAACGATTAAATTTTAAATAGTCATCGAAAAAGGAGAAATTAAATTTCACTATAGTTCCAATCAGTAAATGAATGCTTTTCGTTTAGAAATATTGGATTGTCAACTGAAATTGGTTATTCAGTACCTCTACACGGGTTTCACCAGCATGAGTAGTCTCTAGACCCCAAGATACCTTTTTTTATTTTTTATTAACAATTGAAAGTACGAGTATAATGTTTTTAATAATATTTAATTATTATTTTGTAAGTATATAAATAATGTTAAAAATTTGTACATATTTCATATTTCTCCAAGCAGCTGGGAACCAGGACACTATGCCTTTTTTTGGTATACTTTTTTTATCGGAATTGAGAAATATTTATAAATATTATTAATTGTTATAAGTTATTGTAAATTTTCTATACTTTATCCATATTTTAAATAACAATACGTTGTTATATTTGAACAAAGTAATATTTTAACAAGCGCTATAGCCTAATAGTTTCAGTAATAATTGTATTGAAACAGAAACTTTAATGAGGGTGTATAAAAAATATTAAAAATTTAACAGATCTGAGTATTTCATCGGTTATTGTATTTATAATTAAAATAAATTGTTGTAATCGTATATAAAAATCATTTACATTTAAATAATTTTTTTTGCGGCAAACCACGATGGTTAGCAACGATGAGGCAGATAATCTATGTCCAAATTTATTTATCATATTCTATGTGGGTTTCTTAAATATTTTCCATTTTGATCAATTACATTTATTACAAACGTTTTTGTTCATAATATATAAAACAAAATTAAAAATAACTAAAATCATGATTAAATTTTTTTAAATCTTAAAGCATACTTAATTATTTAAATATTGTCGTTGTTTATTTTATTACAGTAAACAGCCGAAATCTAGGAGCCGATCAAGAGTGAAAAGAACTTACGAGAGATAAACACATAAGTACTTACTTACTCCTACAAATACAGGTACGTCGTTTTTCTTTTAAATAACATCTGTAATTATATTTAAAAAAGTTATATTGATGTTTTTTTTATAGCAACTATTTTATTTTTTTATATTTAAATCATTACCTGTCTAAAACTTATAATAATTAAGTATTCTCGGTTGTGTAAATAATATTTTTCTATTACTTAAATATATTTTTACCATTCAATATTCATTTAAATTATTAATACTCTAAATTTATAAATTGAATTACATCAGGGTTTATTTATTTTTATTATAAAAAATACTTTTTTTTGATATTTAAAACAATTCAAATATTTATACATTTTTATATTTGTACGTAGTTATATTCAAAGTCGGCGGAAAGCACATACGACCTGTGCGACAGCAGAGGGCGGCAAAATTTTTTTTGAATTTTAGGGTGGCATCCTTTATAAATAAAAATATGTATTTTTCATCATTACTCATTATATTTACTCATTGTAAATTCAAAATAATGCATATTATATTATTTTGACTGGCACTGTGTCATATTATATTATGTAGTATTAAAAAAGTAACTATTTATAAACAATATAATTTGGGATAGCCGTTAGCATTGTTATTCGACGCAATTCACAATTATGTTTAAGGATTCCATATCCATATAAAGTTCTCCAAATATGTATGTGCAATAATAATTATTGTACATTATAATGTTCATAAGCGATAAAACTAATTTGCTAGTGACAAGTGACGACAATATGTAGTCTATTGATTGTACCCAATTTAAATGATTTTCTTTTAACTATTCGTCAGGGAATTATTAAAGACAACGATCATAGGGTGCTGTGAATATTTTTTAGTACAATTATAAATTATTTGCTTATTTGGTGAGGGTTTTTCTATTTTAAATAATTGTTCAAGTATTGTTATTATTAAGTGGATAAATTATTTCAATACGATGGAAAATTACAAATACTTCCCGATGTCTTACTTTAATTTTTGAATGTACGTAACCTACATATGAATTCATTGATATTTCATCTAGGATATTAATAAAGCGGATTCTTTTTTTGTTGTTGATTACTATACATTGTTTTGGCAATTTCATTATTATTGTTTTTTAAAAATGTATTATTTTCATACATTGTGTTCAATGGCGCAAATAAAATTAAATTTAAGGGGAGTTCAAGCGCCCAGCAGTTTTTTTTAATTCAATGTACCTACATAATTTTAATAGTATTAGTATTTCTATAATACGGATTAAAGTGCATTGGATAATTTATATATATTATAACATACTCGTACTTATAAAAGTTTTCTCAATGAATAAATAATTACATTTTATTCCTAATAATAATAATCAGAATTAGGATGTGGATGACCTTTAAAACAACATAGAAATGTCCTAAAAAAAAAAGCTAAAATGCCCTAAACACTCTAAAAAATAAATACCAAAAATGACCAAAAAATCTAACTAAATAAGCGAAAAAAATTGAAAAGTAAAACTAATAATTATTATCGGAGATATAGCTGTGATAATGGGTGTCGGAGTACCTTAAACTTATTTCAAACATGTATAACACTAAAATAAATAAATTGATAATTTGTATTTTTTCTTATTTTCATTAAATAAAATTATTATTGTACCTTGATTCAATCTTCTTATAATTAATTAAATTTCCTTAATTTTTTTTAAATTTTCGAAAGACAAAATTTTATAATTTGATTTCCTACGATATAACCCAGTTTATAATTAATATTGTCAATTTTGTATAAATAACTATATACTAATTATACGGCAACCATTTATTAAAAGGGGTGGCATTTTTTTATTTGCACGGGGCGGCAAAATACTTAGCACCGGTCCTGGTTGTATAGAATATGTGCTATATGTATACATGCGCTATAGCCTAAGAGTATTAATAGAAAAAATCGCTTTGAAACAGAAACATCAATGAGAGTGTATAAAAACTATTACAAATTTAACAGATCTTGGTATTTCATCGGTTAATGTATTTTATAGTTAAAATAGATTATTGTATATAAAAAACATTGATATTTCAATAATATTTATTTGCGGCACATCACGACGATAGCAACGATGAAGCAGATAATCTATGTCCAATGTTACTTGTCTTATTCTATTTACATTTTGTAACGGAACGCGAGATTTTAGTTGAACAGAGTTTTATTAGTCTTAAGTACAAATTATCATAGGCGTGTGCAAGGGGGTATGCAGGGTGTGCAACTGCATACCCTAAACACAGAGCCAACTTTCTAAAATTACAAAAAATAAATAAAAATTATGATAAATTTGGTGTTATGTATATTATGTGATTTTGTATTACATTATGATTTTTATTATACGAGTTTTTATTATATTCAGTCCCAGACAGTTTAATTTATTTTTGAAGCACAAATAGCTCTAATAACGTTTTAATGTGTTAATGAAATTAAGAAATACAATAATTCAAGCGAGATTAAATAGCTATAAACTACAGAACAAGAAATGGCTACAAATTAGAATCTCGAAAACATTATTGGTGATTTAATAACTCAACTGTACGCAAAATCGTTTTATGATTAATTTTGATTATTTATCAAATTTATTTTGTTTTTAATTTAAGTATATAATTACGTTTTTATTTATTTACCCTATTTAAACGTGTTACTCAAACCATTTCAAGTGTTATGTATTTAATTATTTTTTTTGTAATTTATTTAAAATTTTAATTATGAAGACTGTTATAACGATTATAAAATGGCTATTCAGTCACTTTTTTCGTTAAAAAAAATGAAAATTTTAAATTAAATAGTTATTAAGACCAGAATTTCGAACGCTTAAATTAACTTTCATTTTGGGGGTAGACAGTGGTAGCTTTTTGCATATCCTGAAAAAGAGGTTTGCGCACCCCTATGCAAATTATACATTTATGAACATAACATAATTGTTAATAACAAATACTCCGAAAAGTACATAAAATACAACAAATAAACATATAATACAAGCTTGTGAAGTTAGCCATCTACTCACAACGGTTGACCTTGTTATAGTGAATTATAATAAGTAGTGATTAACTGAACGGAAATCAACTGGACCGAACGGAGACTGCAAGCTGCGACGGGACTTCACGTTCAAGCTGTTAAGTATTCCGGAGTGCTGCGACTATGGCGAGATTCTTCCTCGTTACGGGTTGGCTGGACCCGGTTTCTTCCGGTGCTCCGTTGACGATGAATATACAAACACGTTTACAAACGATCAGGGGTTTGGTCCTCGCTGACAGTTTTGGCGCGCTGGTTCTCGCCACTAGATCGAGTTCGCAGGTTGTGGATAGCGGTATTTAAACACTCCCTTGTCGTGGGGGTGACAAATGGAATAATTTCAGAATACAACTGCCCGAACAGCGAACTTGCACGCATGAACGGTTCGGGATGGTGGTCTCCACCGATGCGGGCCGTTCGCGTAAAATGTGATACGTGCTTTGAGCTGCGGAGTCGGGTTACGATCAAAATTTACCCCTAAACCTGATTGGGAGTCTCACGGAGCGGTTGCTGGTCGTCTGAGGGCTCTCCCGGGAGTCGGTCGACACGTCTCAGGTCAGTTTCGGTTAAACGTCGTCTCATCCCAGTGTTTCAGTAAAATCGTACCCCCAGAAAATATTACCGGTGGGAGGGTAAGATTATCTTAGACATATTATATCCCCGGTATAATTATCCCAGGTTAATTCTACTCTCTTCAGTGGGTACGATTATCCTAGGAAAGTTTTACCCCACGGTAAGAATGTCCTAGGATAATCTTATCTTCCGGTAAAAATTTACTAGGAATATTGTACTTCAAGGGAGTATAATTTTCCTAGGATATTTTTACCCTCCCAGTACAATATTCCTAGGACTTAACTACGTTCTGAAAACACTGCACAGATAAAATTATTTTTTTAAGTGATTTGTTTTTTAATGTAAAGACAATGGTATACGTATAAAATAGAATACATAAAATATCATAAAGATTTAAATCATAAGGTTCAAATTAACTATTAAAAATCATCTTTTAATCTATCGCGTTAATATTTATAAAAAATATTTCAATTTAAAGTAATCAATTCAATTTTAAATCAAAATATTCAAATTTTAATTCATTTATTTTTATGTTTCTTTTCATAACATGTTATTTTTTTTTTTTGTTTTAACCTATATCAACTTCTATTCGGGAGCAGGGTATACACTAAATTTTTTATTTGAATTTTATATCTATAATATATAATGGTATAAAAATCAAATTCATTTAATTTACATAAAACATCTTAAAACATTTAAATCATATAATTCAAATTAACTATTAATAGTATACTAAAAAAATAGCGTTCATTATTATAAAAAATATTTCGGTTTATATTAATCATTCTAATTTTATTCCTATATATTCTATTTTTAATTAATTTGTTTTTGTATCATTTCAGTTCATAGATTTTTTTGTGTTTTAACAATCATATGGATTCATTCGGGAGCCAGGTAACTATTTTAATTATTTCTATGAATAACTAGCTGTCCCGACACGGCGTTGCCCGCGTATTAGTTGGTTTTTTAGCATTTTCGTAGGCCATGTATTAGTGTTATTATGTATGAGAAAATTTAAAAGTAATAGGTAAAGTATCTAAAAGTTGAAATTAAGTACAAACCAAAATATTTGGACGTCATTTGGAAGCAAGAATTGAATTTGCGTGTCTTACGTAAAAATAATTTCGAATCGTCTGATTCGCCAGCAAGAAATGATTTTAAAGGTTCTGGTGGAATAGGAAGAGGTGTCAGTACAACTTTTCCAGATGCACAACACATACCAATCGTTTCATTGCGGAATTTTAACGCTTGACAATATTGGCATATTTTATCCATTGCACCAATTATAATTTTAGTATGTGCAGAGTAATTGATATCTGGTGCATATTCGAACGCAAGGCGAACGAATGATGCACGTGTTAATGCACGGTTGGTTTGTTGTCGCTCTCTGTCAAGTTCTCTAAATGTGGCTATGTGCCGTTCTCGCGCCGATCTTGTTCTCAATATATTTTGTCGTAGACGTTCATCACGCTGTTCTCGAGAATCTTGTCTGCGAATTTCTGCTGTTCTGATTTGTTGAGCTGCGTTTCTTGTTGCAATTTGTTCTTCGGATTCATGAGCTCTATTAGCACGCATACGTCGTGCATTTTTACTATACTGATTGTGTAGGTTAGATTTCCGCGGCATTATACTAAATTTAAAAAAAATTAAAGAATATTCAATACTGAACACTGCACAATAATAACACAATACCAAGTATTTATGGTTAGTGTTTAGGTAAAGTAAAATACGAAAACACTAAACCGGTACAAATTAAACTGTATAAATAAAAATAACAAACAAAACTCGAGACGGCGCGATTAACTTCAAGCCAAACCAAAATATGAGAATGAGGCAAACCTCGCTTTTGACACTCAATAGAATACAGCCAGCAACGTGTGTTACCAAAAACTGAATATTTTACGATTAAATTAATTAAAGATTTTAACTTTTGTTTAAACACACGTGTAACGATATCGTGACGATGTATTGATTGTTGGCCTGGTAATAACAAACTTTTTATTTCTTCCCAATTTGGATTACACGTAAATGTAACAAACAAATCAGGTCGACCGTAATGACGTACATAAGTCATCGCATCTTGTATGTATTCCTGCATGCTCCGTGGACTGCCGATGTAGCTTGAAGGTAAAATACATGCAGTTCCGATGTCATTGGCGTTTAAATTTTCATCGATGTTTCCGGTGATAGAAATACACCGAAATACACCATGCAATTATACACATTTATTAAAAAGTTAATTAAAATATTTAAAATATTAAAAAATTTGAAAAAAAAAACTATCCTATATTTTAAGTTGGACCAAATTACACACGGTGTAAAAAATTTCATCAAAATCGGTCCAGTAGTTTCGGAGATTATCGCGAACATACATCGTGACACGAAATTTTTATATAGCTGAGCCGACAAACGTTGTTTTGTCATATAAATTATTTTTAGAGAATATTTTGCTAGAAAAAAATAACTAATTAAATATAGGCATGTAAGAATGTGGGTAAGGATAAGGATGTAAGGAAGATATATGGCGTGCTATGAATGGTAACGAAATATAAAAATGAAAAAACATAAAACATTTATTTTTTTAATAATTTATTAAAATTGATCCATTAAAATAATATATATCGCTAATTATGACAATATAAGTAAAAAAAAATATCTATCCCTTAATGCAACAGAGTGTACAATATTTTTTGTAATCCCATCTTTCGCAAACACAAACTGGATGGCTTGAGAGCACACCACGTATAATTATCCGTGTGAAAAATATGATGTGCTCAAATCTAAGCTACAGACATTGTTTGGCTTTGAAACTTATTGATAATCATTGCAAATGCCAATCTAATTGGAAATTTAAAGCGTTTAAATTGTATTGGCACATCTGTGGGTATAATAGAGATTCGCGGTAATAATATATTTTCACCTCGGAATTTGCCATTCAAAATTATGGCTTCGATAACATTTTTCATTAATTTTTTAACAACTTATCGCGTGTCGTTGTACAACCGTGGTAGGTCAAATTATGAAGCAAAATAACCGAAGAACAAACCTTCAATTGTAAATTATGCGGTGGCATGCCTGGTAAGTCCAATGAGTTTAAAAACTCTGTTAGATAATTTACAGCATCAGTAGCATAGCAAACTATATCTATAGATTTGTATGACACCATGTCTCCTGGTAATAAATGTTTATCTTGAGATTCAATTCGTTGACGTCCACATTTTTTACTACTAAAATTGCCCTTTCTGCCAGCCACTCATGATTTATGTATTGTCTGTGTACATTGGAAAATATCTAGTCAATGAGAGCATCTTGCGAATAAATGATTGTGCAGAAATCGGTCGGTAATTTTATACATTCCGTTTTATCTGTAGTAACTTTCCCATCTCCAATATCTAACAATTGTTTTGAGAATCTTCTGCACGCAGCTTTTTTTGATTAAATCGCAAGTATCAAAATCGTTCGCTCTCTGTCTTTACATACATTTCGACCATGAATTGTTGACGAAGCTCATGATATCGTAGAATAATTTTGTCTTGATCTCGTTTAATCATCAACCGATATGCATAATAATTTTTCGAACTAACATTCTTATTTGTTTTGACACCTGTTGCGGGATCTTTTTTTGTTTAATATTTATGCAATAACCGTCATTTACTACCAAAAATAAAATTAATAGTTTTTAAATAGTTTTTTTTATAGTTTTTTAATAGTTTTTTAATAGTTTTTTAATAGTTTTATTTAATAATTCATTTTCAATCGACCTGGTAAAAAAGGGCTATTTTTAGGGTTTTTCCAGCAATAATTCTAATTTTTCTCGCCGTAAAAACCATCCTTGAACTTCAACGGACATTTGAAAAAAAGATTTGGCCAAATTGGTCTAGGCGTTGTTGAGTTATGCGCTTACCAACACATTTTGCGATTCATTTTTATATTATAGATATACATTTAATATTTAATGTTATTAAAATTAAAATTATATAGCATATATAAAATATCATAAAATATTAATATAATGTGATTCAAATTTACTTATAATAATGAACACTTTAAAAATCGCCTTCATCAATTTAAAATATAATTAAATATCAATTAACCACTTCAATATAATTTGAAATATACAAAATTTGTATTGATATATTACTATGTTTCTTTTCAAATCCTGGATTTTTTTTTGGTACAACCCAAATCAATTTTCCTCCCGGAGACGGGGATCCCCTTTTCTTTTTGATTTTTACACTTTAATTATTTAATGGTATAAAAATCAAATTCATATAATTTACATAAAATATTATAAAACATTTGAATCATATGATTCAAAGTAACTATTAATAATATACTCTTAAAAAATAGCATTCAAAATTATAAAAAATATTTCGATGTAAACCAGGATCTGGAACCTAGTGAATTTGTGGGTACCGGTTCTCCTAAAATAAAATAACTGTTCCGGTTTGATTCCAGTTTTTCTTAAAAAAAAAAAATTAAAGGTATAGATTCCATGTAATTTCGGTACTGATTCCTGTTATCAGAAAAATTTATAATATCTTATCAACAGAATAATATCATCTGTTAAAGTCGTAGATAATAAAAAATAGAACAAAAATAATTATATTTATATACCTACCAAAATAATAATAATTAATCATAGTAATTAAATGGATAAAAATTGTTGAAATAGGTAATAATAATAAATTCTGAGGTTTAGGTTATTTTTTTAATGGATTTAAGTAAAATTGTACCAAATATATTTTATATCATATACATATAAACTAGTTTATATGTCTATGTTTTACATATTATTATAGTATAGATAAGCAAGTGATAGATCTTTTTATTGATAATAACATTTTACTTTTTTAAATTATGAAAAACTTTTTTTATTTTATGAAACCTTTTTTATGAACCACTCATAAATAATTAATATTCACTATAATTTAAAGTTTATCATTCATGACACTTTGTGTCGATTAGTAAAAAATATTCACCATTTCAATATTATTTTTAACATTTCCTAAAATTAGAAAAAAAAAATTAAATTTGTGCATGAATTATACACCTAAAAATACTCTACTAGGTCTATTAATTATTAAATAATATGTCATAATACAAATCTAGTGGTAAAGATGATTCAATATTTGGTAATATTTGCTGGTGCAACAAAAACTAAATGTATATTTTGAAAAACACTGAACATAATAAAATAATAATTATAATGTACCTATATTACTTTAGTGAATTATATGAATAAATATCAGATTCCAAACACTTATTTAAAACGAAACTGTGACCATTTAATTTTGAGTAGGTAGTTGGTTATTTATATCAATGTTGGAAGTAAACGGTTAAAATAATAATCTTTTTATATACCAACTATGATAGTTTTTATTATTAACAAATAGTATACAAATATTACAGTTTCAACGAAAATTTATAATCTAACTTATAAGTACTAGATATCATATTAGTAACATTTGTTTTTTACGTTTCACAACTGGACTCGAATTATCACGAATTTGATTAACTCCTGGTACTAATGTAGACCTTGGATTTTCATCCGTGAATCTGAAAACAAAATATTAATAAATGTATACCTATATAGCAAAATCATTATTATTATTATTATTATTATCGTATAGCAAAAACATTACATTGTTAACAACTATTAACAACTAATATATAAATACAAAACACACTCATAAGTAACTTAATATAAAAAAATAAAACATAAAACATAAATCACAAATCAGTCACAATTCAAAGTATAGAATAATGGAATAACAATAACATAGGATAACAATAGTTTTAATATACATATTTAAGTTTATATTTATAAAATTTGGATAGAGATTAGATACGAGATTTTGTAGTCTTAGATTTAGATATCCAATTTCAAGATCCACTCAACTGCTTCTAGTGTGGCCATATAGAGGTTGTTCATGCCCTTGCTGAATTATCTCCTTGGACATTCTTTAACAATATGTTCAATTGTTTGTATCGTATTTCCACAGTCACATTCTGATGTAGGTCTGATACCTCATTTACATTAATAATCATAATCATTATAATTTCATACTTAGGGGTGTCTTTTTTTCCAAAAGAGCCTATTGGTACGAACAAGAAGTTGGTCTTCTAAATTAATTGAACTAATGTTAGTTCTATACAGTGATAAAATTAATTTTAAGCCAGAAAATAGTCTTTCCACACTGACCTGTGTTGCAGGTACGGAAAATACAACTTTATATTGTATGATAATTCATATAGCTCGGGGTGAATAGTTTCCATAGATTTCCAGAATTTTAAAATGTTAGTTTTATTTCAGATTCTGTTTTGTTCAATATGATAAGGTTTTAAAAGTTTTTCTATCTGTGTTGAAATAATAAATTTCTGAGAATTGGAAAAACTCAAATTTGTTTGATTTTGATCAAAAGATTCTTGTAAATAGTTTGCTTTTAAAAACTGTTCTATTTCATCACTAGATTTTGAATCACAGGAAATATCAGACAAATTATCAACATCTTTATCACTAATAATTAACTCTTGATGCTTTTTTTCAAGCATTTTCATATGAATCCACAAGTTTATTAAATGTTTTATTGCTTCCATGGATTGTTCTTCTGTCAAAGTTATTTTATATCTAAGGTCCAAAAATATGACAGATATAAGTGCTTTATTATTCATTATATCAACTTCTCTTATATTCATATTAATTAGTAACTTTTGGGAATAACAATTATCAATTTTGTTTACATTGATTTTGGAAGTAATCCATGCACCATAGAAGTCTGTTAGCTGTTCTGTTTGTAATTTTTTTATGCAAATTTTGGCTGGTAAAAGTACTTTAGAAATTATTTCTATTTGATTTCATTCAAAGTTACTTAAACAATATTTTTTTAATTTTGAATCATTTTCTAACATATTTTGAATAAAACTTTTAAGATAAATGATTCTTTCCAACATATCATTGTAGAATGCCAACATGTATTACAATCTTGAATTGGCATTTTTTATTTGTCTTTTTTTTAATATATATAAATATGTTTGATTTCTTAACTTACGAACTAATGCTCTTACTTTTTGCAATATATTTATAATGTTGTATCTTTCAATGCATCAAACACAGCTAACTGCAAAGTATGTGCAACACAACACATACCTATAATAAAAATAAAAATAAATTATTTCCTAGCAAAGATTGATATAAATATCTTGCTTTATATTTAAAAATAAATAGATAATTAGTTTATACAAACAAAATTTAATAAATTAAAATATTTCAAATAAATATTATTATGCAATTTTGAAATAAAATTTACAATTGTTTCATTTTAATTTTAACTAACTCACCAGTAAATATTGTACTGTCTCCAATATGTAAAGTTTCCATTTCCATTTCAGAAATTAGCTTCTCACAAATATCATTGTTTTTCTCAAAGTCATCATCGTCTGCAGCATTAAGTATAGAATGTATTTCATCATCATCAATTATAGAATTATCAATATCCAATCTAAAAATAAAAAAATATATTAAATAATTTATTAGGTAGTTTTCATTTTATAGATTACATTATGTGTAAATTTGAAATAGGTAAATAAAAACTGTTCATTATATTTGTATATATTACTATTTAAGTACCTACCTTTCTGTTTCACAGTCAGTACTAGTATCACTGTTATACTTATCCTATAATATGTCTGAGCCTAGGATTTCATCAGGATCTATTTGATTTTTGCTGTTTGCATGTTCACTATCTATATCAGACTCTAGTAATAGTTCAATTTCATTTCCAATTAATTTTACAGCTTTTTCTATATTTGCTCCATTATCAGTGGTAATTGTATACACCTGATTTGGATTAACTTTGAATTTTTTTAATGTCTTAAGAATAATTTCTTTCAAATATATTCCTGAAAATAAATATTAAAATTTATTGAATTTACTTAAATTGTACAAAATAACTCTAATGTATATTTTTTTAATCCATGTATTACCTGTATGAGATTCTATTAATTCAACAAGACTGATTGTTCTTAATTGAATACAATCATTAACTATGTATTGAATATTTAATCCCAAAAAACTTCTATTGAACCTAGTAACTACATCAATTTTCAATGATATCAATTTATTTTGTATTTAATTTGAAATCTGTTTTTGAAGTAGCATAAATTCTTCATGAACATGCCTCCTAGTGATTGAAGTATAGAAAATAATTTATTCATGAAATCAAACCATAAGTATTATGAATAAAGTAAAATAAATATAAAATAATTTAAAACTATTAGTGTTTAATTCAATAGTTGGTCAATCTGAAAATTAATAAGTAAATGTATTATTATTTATTAAAAACTAATGTTAGACCAATTTTGGTAAAAATAATTAATATTGTTTTGAATATATTAAATATGTAATATATCTTATATTCTTTGTAATAAGTTAATAAGTGTTAACAAAATCCCAATTTTGAAATTAAGTATTTTTTATAAACAAGTCTCCAAATAAATCCTAAAATTACAATTAATAACCAATATAAAGAATAAAAATATTAAGAATTATTCTCTATATAGCGGATATAAGTTATCCAAACGCCCTAAGGAATATATATATGTATATGTATATATATATATATATATTTTAATGGAGAATTTTAAAAGGGTGTATACTACAAGAATTGCTAGTGGTTTTATTGACTAAACTAAGCATTTTAATGATAATTGTTATCAAATTATCAACATGCCTACTATATAAAGGTATATCCAAGATCAACCAACCTTAGCGGTATCATTTTTAAAAACACTATTTTGTTCCTCCTGAACAATTTCAATTATGTGGTATACGCCCTTTCAACAAAACACCATCGATATCTTATCAAACAAAATAGTAAAACAAATATGCAAAATAAAACTTATAACTTCAATTAATTTAGAGTTATAGAATTTATAAAAGTAGGTATCCATTTAATCATCTATTTCTTAGTTATAACTTTATAATAAGAAACATTATCAAAGTTGTGTAAGTAGTTGCATATTAAAATGTATAAATAAAATCTATGATATATCTTAAGATTTTAAATTTGTATAGTATATAGTATATACAATTACAGTTAAGAAATTATTAACAATTTGTTTTATTAAATATATTTTACTTAGAAATACTGTCGATGTAATATCCACATTTATTATACAACTACCTACCCATCTAGGTATATGCCATATTTTTTATCTGATAGAAGTTGAATTTAGAACTATTTTATTTTTGAATTCTCTTAACATTGGATTAAGTATATTCTTAAAACCACTGCCATTTAAAATACTATATGGGTGACCATTCACTGTGACAAGTTCTATACAAGCATCAATTATTTTTTTTTTTGTGTTATATTTACTTTAATTTCATAATTTGATTTAACAAGTGTATCTATTTTCACTTGAGTTATAGAATTATATTGAGATATTTTTTCTTGATTTTCTATAAAATCATTATGTAATTCCTCGTGTTGTTTCATGTTTTTTTTAATTTAATTCATGATTACCCTAAGATATTTGTAAATATAAATTATGTATTCAAGCTAGTATGAAGTTATTAAAATATACTTACTTTTAATAATTTTGAACATTCTTTGCGTGTAGATTCATTAGATGATACACAGTAATTGAAATATTTATTTATTGATGATTTAGTTCGGCACATTATTTAGCTCATAAAATATAAAAAGTTCCAAAAATTCAAGGATAAACAACAATTAATCAATAATTAGAAAACTTCATTGAGAACGACATAACAATATAACAACTCATAAATAGAGGTAATCGTAAACAGTTGTGTATCGGAAGTTATCAACAATTAGTATTAAAATCCATTGTGTATGTGTGTGTTAGCGTGTATTTCATAATTCATTAATATTTTCATAGATAGCAGACTACAGTCCATAGAAATAATTGGCAACTAATTTTCCCTGTAATTTCACTATATATAAAAATAATTCCAATTATAGACATACTGCATAGTGCATAGTATGAGTAATATTACTCATTAATACTACATGGGAAAAACATTTCCAAATAATATTAATGATTATCTCGCATGTAATCAATACTTGGAAGTAAAATATTTAGAATTCAAATTGCAAATTTTGTACAGCTCTATAAATAGTATAACAAGTATAACAATTTAAACAAAGATGTTTATAAAATCATACATCCCTATAATTATAAAAAAAACAATAGTAGTTATAAATTATGAAAAATAAGATTTTATTTTGGAACCTAAAAGAAACCTATTAAATTTATAAATTCTGATCCGGTACTGGTACTTAATATAACTAAATAAAGGTATCGGGTCCGGTTCCGGTTCTTCATATTATCAACGGTTCCGCTTCCAGAATCAGTTATTTTTGGTTCGGTTCCAGTCCCTGATTTAAATTAATCAATCTAATTTTATTTCAAAATATTCCAATTTTAATTCATTTTTATTTATGTTTCTTTTCAGATCTTGGTTTTTCTGTGTTTCAACCTTCATAAGGATTCATTCGGGAGCCAGGTAAATATTTTAATTATTTTTATAAATTACACTCAGTCAAAAAAGTTTCCATACATTGCATTTAAATTTATAAAATTATTTTAATAAATCTTAA